CTTGGGAGCAATTTCCAAACGCCTGAAGGTACCACGTTCATCTGTACAAACAATAGTACGCAAGTATAAACACCATGGGACCACGCAGCCGTCATACCGCTCAGGAAGGAGACGCGTTCTGTCTCCTAGAGATGAACGTACTTTGGTGCGAAAAGTCCAAATCAATCCCAGAACAACAGCAAAGGACCTTGTGAATATGCTGGAGGAAACAGGTACAAAAGTATCTGTATCCACAGTAAAACGAGTCCTATATCGACATAACCTGAAAGGCCGCTCAGCAAGGAAGAAGCCACTGCTCCAAAACCACCATAAAAAAGCCAGCCTACGGTTTGCTACTGCACATGGGGACAAATATCGTACTTTTTGGAGAAATGTCCTCTGGTCTGATGAAACCAAAATAGAACTGTTTGGCCATAATGACCATCCTTATGTTTGGAGGAAAAAGGGGGTGGCTTGCAAGCCGAAGAACACCATCACAACCGTGAAGCACAGGGGTGGCAGCATCATGCTGTGGGGGTGCTTTGCTGCAGGAGGGACTGGTGCACTTCACAAAATAGATGGCATCATGAGGAAGGAAAAGTATGTGGATATATTGAATCTCAAGACATCATTCAGGAAGTTAAAGCTTGGTCGCAAATGGGTCTTCCAAATGGACAATGACCCCAAGCATACTTCCAAAGTTGTTGCAAAATGGCTTAAGGACAACAAAGTCAAGGTATTGGAGTGGCCATCACAAAGCCCTGATCTCAATCCTTTAGAAAATGTGTGGGGCAGAACTGAAAAAGCGTGTGCGAGCAAGGAGGCCTACAAACCTGACTCACTTACACCAGCTCTGTCAGGAGGAATGGGCCAAAATTCACCCAACTTATTGTGGGAAGCTTGTGGAAGGCTACCCGAAATGTTTGACCCAAGTTAAACAATTTAAAGGCAATGCTACCAAATACTAATTGAGTGTATGTAAACTTCTGACCCACTGGGAATGTGATGAAAGAAATAAAAGCTGAAATAAATAATTCTCTCTACTCTTATTCTGACATTTCACATTCTTAAAATAAAGTGGTGATCCTAACTGACATAAGACAGGGAATTTTTACTAGGATTAAATGTCAGGAATTGTGAAAAACTGAGTTTAAATGTATTTGGCTAAGGTGTATGTAATCTTCCGACTTCAACTGTACGTGGCCAGTCGGTACTCTCTGTCCTCCAATGGAAGGAGGTAACTGGATGCACATGACTGAACTACTACTGCTGCGCGCATGCTATTAATCTTTCAAGCAGTGATTTAGATTTACAGCCTCCCTGTGACCTTATGGGAGATTTAAAACAACACACCTCACAGGCAGTCGTTTAGAAGACATTTACTTCCTTCCCAAGCAGGCAGGGGCACAATCCACCACTCACATCCACTCTGTTCCCCTTTCCTTGGGCTGGAGAGAGAGGCACAACAGGCCAGAGCCTTTTCCAGACCACTTTAGACAAATTGGATCAGTGCATCCTTTTGAGACCTTTGAGTAGGCATTCAGAGAATGGGACTCTCATGTTTCCAATAATGATTTCTGTGACATTTGTGCTACAAACTGTTACATAAAACATTGTATGACACAATTGCTTGTTGGACATTAGGTGCAGAATTTTCTTGGACATTTAAGAAATAATAACTATGCACTTGAGTACGTGTGAGTAAATAACACATTAACAACTGTCATCTTTGCAATCCCACAGTCCAAATGTAAAAAAGGAAAGTATAAAAAACATACAAATGCATACATAAACAAAAACACATAATAAACACTAAATAAAATACATTAAAGACATGCTCCGGTACTTTGTCGACTAGTAAGTATTTTTTAAACCTCCCCCTTTGGGCTGGATGTGTCCATGTGTAGTTCATACATGCATAATCTATGAGCAGAATTACTGTCTAACCTCAATTAGCCAGGAAATCCATTTTCCCTACATTCTCCCCACGTGGGTCAGCCATTTAGCAATTTGAGTTCTAGCCAATGAGCTTCAGCCCCTCGCATTTGAGTGACAGCTAGCAAGAGGCCTGCCCAGCGCTATCCAATGAGGTTGCAGGGCGGGTCCAACGGCTCAGTGGACACAGCAGAGAGTGTGAGAGAGAGAGAGAGAGAGAGAGAGAGAGAGAGAGAGAGAGAGAGAGAGAGAGAGAGAGAGAGAGAGAGAGCAATTACGTGGTGCACATATCTGCACAAATGTGACGTAGTATGCAATTTTCGGGGACCACTTTTGGCTCGTGACCACTACTTTCAGCGCTACTGGCTAAAAAGTATACAAGAGTACCGGAGAATGTCTTTAACAATAGAGCTGGCTGAATTTCATATAGACCTTGCCAACATAGATTTTGTTGTGCACTACAGGTGTAGGATATTAATTTTACCAGTTTCTCACAGCAGGAAAATAATCCTGCAGCAAGAGTAAATGTGAATTATTGTGTGTATTATAAATAATTGACATTTTTGTAGGGGTTGATAAAAAAAATTGTTAGGGCAAATCAAGTCTGACATTTTTAAGTGGAAATTACAAACTTTAGAATACTTTTTAAACCTTGAATATACTACAAGGTTTGCATTTCCTGCTGTGCAGCAAATTTCCTGCAACAACAGGGTGATCAAATTAAGAGCCTAGACCTGTATATAGCTACAATAAAGATGAAAGTACCTAAGCTACAGAAAATAACTTGTTTCAAAAGCTTACAGTATCAATATCGGTTCTCTATTGCAATGTATAAAGATGCAATGCTGACTGAGTATAGGACACACTACATACACCCCAGACAAACTGTGTGAAGACTGAAGAGTGTCCACACCAGGGGGGGGGGGGGTTAAATGTGTACCCTATGAGGTCAGGACTACTGCTGGTTTTCTGTTCTAGCTGATAATTAATTGCACACACCTAGTGTCCAAGTGCTAAATCAATCCCATATTTGAGGGGAAGAATGAAAAAAAGCAGTGAAACTGGCTTCAAGGTCCAGATTTGAATTTGAGGGTTCTACGCCGTCTCTCTATAGTCTGTAGACATGTCCAGATATTCACAGAGACTAGGCTACTCCCCGGAGTCTATACTCTCTATACCACCTCCTCCTGGGCCATCTGCTACAGTAGTTCCATTAGAAATCCATTCACACATTATCCTCCATGATGGGCTTTAGATCACATGCAACTGACACTGCCTTGTCTCTCAATGAATTTGATGCTTTTCTAACAGTTATCTCGGTAACACTTTACTTTATACATTACACATTAATGAAACCAGTCATAACACCATTCATGAAGGGGTCATGGTTTCATAAAAGTGTTATAAATGCCTTATGTATACCCACCATAGTGAAGTGTTACTGTTATCCCTCCACCTCCCATCTCTCTCTCTCTCTCTCTCTCTCTCTCTAATCAATATTGGGACTGGAGTAAATCACCAGCGAGGCTGATCTTATTTGCTAGTTGCCAGTGACAGCAGGTGAGAGCTGTCTGTTGGTCCGGCGCTGCCCCAGTGGACCCTGGAAGAAGAGAGGAGGAGAGACGAAGGGGATGTTTGTTTTTCTTCCTTGTATCGAGCCGTCTGCTCATCTGTCAGACGTGTTTTTCTCCTATGCTGGCAACGGATGTAGAAATGGGGATGATAGGAGATAGGGAGAAGACATTGGGAGAATGGGACTGTGGAATAAATGGATTGGAATGAGACAGGGGAGATGTTGCCTCCCTTTTACATTCTTACTTAGGCTATTTTTCAGTTACTACAAGTCTCAATTCTTCATGTTGCCTGTATCCCCCAGTCATACTTTCTAAAATAATCCACTCAACACATCACCTGCAGTCCTGCACCACCAAATGATTAACCTACCCACCAATTTCCAGGTCCTAAAATGAATCTAGAGGGACTGACCTGCTCTCAGACTGTTAATAATAGCTTACCTTACTGTCATTCTCCAAGTTATTCTGGCTGTGGTCTAGGTAGGAGACATTGAGAGGAAAGGGGAGCGAAGAAACTGATTCACACAATGTCTAGTGCTATTGCCAAAGAGAATGATTAAACAACAACAATAACTGTGTTAATGGAGTATCAGGCCTAATTTATTATGGAAAGGCCTAAACAACGACATATCTTGGCGTCAAATTACAGTAGCTTCTTGAACGCAAAGGTTGTACAACATATAATTAGGTGAAATCACCTGTTGTACTTCATGATTTTGTTCAGGTAGTTTGTTTTTTTGTAATACTTTCTTCGAGCGCCCCCCTGCGTTTTGAGAGAGATCTGCAAGGAAAATAGAATGCGAAAGCGCTAAGCTTGTCCCAAACCACTTCTCGTAGTACGTTAACAACATGGCCGCTCCCTTGATGGTAAGTTTATCCTTCGCTTTTCACGTCGCTGACGCTAATAAATCTAATCTAATTCAAAGCAGTATTTTGCATTAGTGTAGCCTATGTTGTCAAGTGAAATGTAATGTCTGGGTTCAGTGTCAAGAATATACACGCTATAGCAACAAAGGTGGAGCGATCACATCACGGTGAGTGTATCTCGATAGTGACGTCTCAGAGCAATGTTTTCTGGACTAATATTTTTGTGACAGGAAGGATATTCTCTAACACATACATTATTAAATAAATACAATATTTTAAGTACAATGAGCATACATATTTTAGCAGAATTACAAATAGCAGGTTTAAAGCAAGGCCGGCTGCCTTGGACAAACAGCATGCACACCATCGAACGCTCTGACATGGCACATAGCTATGACCCGAGGTAAATTGTCTTTTTTTTTTTTTTTTCATTTAGCAGTCCAGACGACTTACAGGAGCAATTAGGGTTAAGTGCCTTGCTTAAGGGCACATCGACAGATTTTTCACATAGTCGGCTCGGGGATAAGAACCAGCGACCTTTCGGTTACTGGCACAATTATTTTTTGGAGTGCAAAAGTCTACACATACATGGGGCCCTCCAGGAACAGGAGTGATGAACTGGTCTATGAAGTCAAAATCAAAATAATGCAACATCATACATGGATGAGAGTGGAGGTGCAAACTAAAGCACTCATCTCACCACTCTTGGGTTTATAGTTACAGCATATTAGCATGGCTTGTAGATTTCCTCTCCTTTGCATTGTGCATGTGTCACTCTCCTTTCTCACTGTCCATGTTCTCTGTATCTGTCTGTGTCAGTTGATGCGGCGAAGCTGTAGGCAGGTGACCCTCTTGGTCGCCACGTCGCGTTACAGAAGCTCTATCCCTGTGGCTCTGCCCTCACTACAAGCCAGGCTCCTCCTCTTCCTGAGCCAGCATTTCCATGACATAGAGACTCTCCTCAACTGGAGCTCCTGGTTCAAAAACCGAGGTCTACGACAGAAGAATTTGTATGTGTAACAGGAAAACACACAGATTATTCTAGCTACATGCATTTCTATCAGCACGCCACGGTCTAAGATTGTGTATGTAATCATCCGGTCCCAAATCGTTCCCTATCTCTCCTCCCCGGCCCTTACCCTTCAATGTACTGTAAGGCGTTGGTAAGCAAAATGGTGGACGCTCCAACGCTGATTATGCTATCCAGACCCTTTAGATCTGCATGCAATGAAGGGTTAGGGCTAAGGCGAATGATGTGTAGGGAGCGAATTGGAACCGGCTGTCCCAACTCCATAAACATTGCTCTCAGCCCAACCCCTGTCTCTTTCCCCTCACAGTTTCTATGGTTACACCCAGCAGAACTATGGGGACAACATTGCAGCTGCTTATTACATCCTCAGCCTGAAGGGAGGATTCAGGTAACTGTTACGCCATTTTGGGCTGCCCATAACTGCCTGCTTATGCATGCCCCCTTTTTGACCTGTTGATTAATATTGATGTGCTTTCAGTGTTTTTTTGTCATGCATTTGGATGTTTTTTTTTTTGTATTTGCTGATCACTTGTTGTTAGTGATGACTAGTCTGTTGACCCTCCAGGTTTGCAGGGCAGTCAGAGTGGTTCCGATCAGACAGAAGAGGGAAGTTAAACTGGGACTTCATGAACCACCGGGACACCTCCATAGAGGAAGTGGATGTCAGCAACACACTCATTAACTACACAGGCCTGGAAAACCTGGGTACATACCACTTTATTCATGTCTGGGGGGTGGGGATTTGTATTTATTTCACAATGCAGGATCAATAAGCAAGTTACCCTTCCTAAATATTCATGGATAACTTTTGGTTCATATGAATTTTTATGTATGTACTATTTGCCAGTGGTTTTCAACCTGTTTTGCCGCAGGTTATTATTAATTACTTTTTTTCAACAATAAATAACAGTCGGGAGTGTGGTCCTCTGTAGCTCAATTGGTAGAGCATGGCGCTTGTAACGCCAGGGTAGTGGGTTCGATCCCTGGGACCACCCATATGTAAAAATGTATGAACGCATGACTGTAAGTCGCTTTGGATAAAAGCTTCTGCTAAATGGCATATTATATTATATTATATTAATGGTATTATACTCAATTTTACATTACTTTTCACAATGCAAATTGTTTCAAAAAATAATAATAGGCCTTTAATCTGTTAATCTGTTACTGGCATAGAGTACATACATAAAAATACATATGAACCAAAATGCTAAGTTATCCATGTCTAGTATTCTCTCTGGTGTGCAATCTGGTTTCCGCTCAGGTTATGGATGTGTCACTGCAACCTTAAAGGTCCTAAAAGATGTCATTTCATCATTTCATCTCTTCATTCAAAGACTCAATCATGAACACTCTTACTGACAGTTGTGGCTGCTTCGTGTGATGTATTGTTGTCTCTACCTTCTTGCCCTTTGTGCTGTCGTCTGTGCCCAATAATGTTTGTACCATGTCTTGTGCTGCTACCATGTTGTGCTGCTGCCATGTTGTGTTGCTACCATGTTGTTTTCATGTTGGGTTGCTACCTTGCTGTGTTGTCGTGTTTGCTGCCATGCTATGTTGTCGTCTTAGGTCTCTCTTTACGTAGTCTTGTGTTGTCTCTCTTGTGATGTGTGTTTGGTCCTATATTTATATTAATTGTTTTTATCCCAGCCCACGTCCCCGCAGGAGGCCTTTTGCCTTTTGGTAGGCCGTCATTGTATATAAGAATTTGTTCTTAACTGACTTGCCTAGTTAAATAAAGGTTAAATAAAATAAAAATACAATAAATTACTCTATATTTGACCGCCGGGATTTTATGTCAAAAAGTTATGCGACTGTGGATGGTGGTCTTGGAGCTTTCGGCAGTGATTTGGTGGTCCCCGGAACGGAAAAGGTGGTGAACCACTGCTCTATGCTGTAAAATGTAACTCCTTTTTCTCTCTCTCTCAGTGGAACAGCGTGGGCTGCGTACTCTCTCTGTGAGTGGCTGCGCTGAGGTGGATGACTGGTTCCTGTCCCGCCTCCATATCTTCCAGGACACCCTGGAGGAGCTGGACATTTCCAACTGTCCCCAAATCTCTGTGGGGGGCCTGGCTGCACTGCAGAAGCTGAGGTACACTCACCCACACTGATGGGAATGACCAAGACAGAGGCTTTTAAGCAATTAGTATTTTCTCGGTTCCTCACATCCTATCTCCTTGCTTCGTCCTTCAAATGTATTGGAGGAAAAAAATGCTATGTCCCTCCCATGTGTTTTGAGAAGGTGAGGAGAGAGGACACAAGGAATCGAGGGAAGATTCATTGAGAAAGAGACAGAATCACTCAAATGTCCATGCATCTCCTCATGGCACTTGCCTTAGATATTTTTGCATATGTAAATATAGGAGTCAATGGACTCTGTAACTTCACTAATAGATACAAACATTCCTTCTCTTCCTCTTGTGTATCAGGGGTCTGCGACGGCTGGACGTGTCCTCCCTCCCCAGGCTCCAGAACCCTGGGCTGGTCGCCATCCTGCTGGAGGAGATGCTTCCTCACTGCCGTGTTACCGCTGTCGGGTACGACCACAGCCTGACCTACAGCCCCACACAGACAGACGCCCAGACACGGATAGACGCCCAGACACAGATAAAGGCCCAGGCTGAGGCTGGACCTCAAAGACTGACTAGAGAAGTGGAGAGACACAATCAAAGTCGGGCATGGTGACAAATGCACATACAAGCAGTCCACTCTTATTCGCCCTCGTTCTGTCTCTTTAACCAACACTCACACAGAAAAACGGGCAGGGAGGGATGCCCATTTAGTTTGTGATGTAGAGCCTCACTGATGATTTATAACTTTTTATCAGAGAAGTGTTTTACTTACTTGTAGAGCATCATTGTCCTCCTTAAGCTATCAAAATTATCTGTCCAAAAATATTTGCTTCAGAAAATGTATATCAGATGATGGTACGGATTATTATTATGCATTGTATTGGTGATGCAATAAAATATTTATTTGTAAAGGATGCCTCGTGTTGTACATCTGGATCAATACAGACATTTATGAAGCAGACACAGAACCAAATGGACAGACGTTATGGTTAGCATTTTAAAACTGGTGTGAATCTTATTAACTGTAAGTGAGGGCTGTAAATCCCATAATTCTTTGTGAGACTGAGGAGTGGAGAGGAGACCTTAAAGGTGCAGTTGAATAGGAGAAATAACGATTCAAGAGGAAAACTGAGAGATTAACATATTTTGTAGATTGAGGTAATTATGTATTAACTACATTATATACTGTTTCAATCATACTGTCCAAAAATTGCTGTCATGAGCTCATGCTTAAACTACTTATGCAGGTACATAAAACCACATTGAGTCATGTCAGTGATTTGATTTGGTTGTCTTTGTTAAATTATGACAATGTAACAGATTTTGTTTTACTTGCACGATACAAAACAGCTCGGCTAATTTATAAATCCAACCACTATCTGCAAAAGTAGGACAACGCGTGCGCATGTGCTTGTTTCTAGTCGGAATAGTTCTTATGCGGAAGTTAGCAAGACGGAATTAATTCGCGACGGACAACAACAATCATATCGCAACTGAACGAATCAACTTACATATTTAGCAAGTTAAACACACGGGAGCAACACACACAATATCATACAATTCTGTGAAGGATTAGTCTAGACGGATAGATGTCTGATGTACCAGGTATACCTTTTTCGTCTTGGGCTGGCCTTTGCTTGAAAATTAAGTGTAGCCAACCAGCTAGCTAACTACAGCTAGCTAACTAAAGCGTTCAGCATTGTGGTTAGCTACTTGTAAATAGTAACTTGACATGGATTTGTTTCGTATTTTCCAGAAGCGTCTAACAGAGAAGAGGTCGAGGACAACACCCCCGAACCAGAGGTAAGAAATAATACAGCTGTGGTTAGGAGTTGTCAGTGTGTGCATGCCTTGCCCAATGAATGGAGTCCTGGCTGGCTAAGGTTAGCCAAGAACTAGCTAGTAGCTAGTTGTCACGACTAGTTTGTCAGGCACACGGTTAGTAGAGAACCTATCATAACTTTTCACCAATCATAGTATATTCTGCATCCATTGACATGTTGACACACTGACACTGTATTGGCATGCAATACAATGTACAGCTTCTTATGATGTGCATAAAACCAAGCAAGGATTATATTGTCATGTTCTTGATCAAACTAATGTTTCCATGTTTACACTGAATTTGCTCTTGATTTCTGCTAGGAGCAGTCAGACGATAGCAGTGACGACGGCGAGGCATCAGGGGACACAGAGAGTAGGTGTCAAAAACCTCAAGGTTTTGCTGTTAACACCAAAGTCTCATATTTTCATCAGAATAATTATTAGTTTCTTTCGTACAGTGGATTTCCTGCGCAATCTTTTCTCTAAAACCTTGGGCATATCTGGAGAGAAGGTTTTGGATGAGCTGACTCTTGAGGGGGTGGCCAGTTACATGCAGAGTGGCAAATGTGAGTATTTTATTCATCTAACCCAGTGTGCACACATTTCATGTAGGGGTTGATGACTATGTAGCCCAGCAAACAGTGCATCTGTCAACATCTAGGCCTAGTATAAATGAGTCATTAGTCAACACAAGAAAATAGACTGTATTATGAATAACATCTGAGGCCATATCATTCGCCAATATTTAAGTATGTTACTACAACCACCTGACTGTGATACTGCTTCATTGGTTAACAAATGGTACAATCCAGGAAGTGAAATGAATTCTCTCTGCTCCTCTATCCTCCACAGGCAAAAACATCATCTGTATGGTGGGGGCAGGGATCTCTACATGTGAGTAACTCCCCCTCTTGCATAACTGTGGGCTGAACATAACATAATTAGTCTAGACATGTTTTGTTTTGTTGGACAAATAAGACACATAGCCTAAATACAAATAGATTTCCCTCTAAATTGTATGTACAATGTATCCACCACTTCTGTGATGATGACACTGTCCCTCTTTCCCCCTCAGCGGCTGGGATCCCTGACTTCCGCTCCCCAGACACGGGGCTCTATGCCAACCTGCAGAAGTACAACCTGCCCTACCCTGAGGCCATCTTCCAGATAGACTACTTTAAGGTCTGAAACTTTCTGTCGGATTCTTTTGGCTTAAGAAAGTAATTTGCTTGCTACATTAACGATCTACACAGATGATTTTGTTCTTTGCTGCTATCACCACTCAATATTTACCTCTCTTTCTACATCAGAAACACCCTGAGCCCTTCTTTGCCCTGGCCAGGGAGCTGTACCCAGGACAGTTTAAGGTAGGATCTAGCCTATTTTCTGGCTTTTAATTTTCTTAACTTAATTTCCTGAATTTTGCAATAGGTGCCTGTGTATTTTTTAGGTATCACTAACGGCAGTGTTGTTGTATGTTAAGCCCACAGTATGTCACTACTTCATCAAGTTGCTGAAGGACAAGGGGCTACTCAAACGCTGCTACTCACAGGTTCGGTATTCTTTCATATACTTTGTTCTGTGTTAGTCACCTACAGCCTGTATTGAATTGTTATTGGGGTCGTCCATTTCTGTCTGGGCAGAATATTGACACCCTGGAACGTGTAGCAGGACTGGAGGGAGAGGACCTGATTGAAGCCCATGGCACCTTCTACACCTCACACTGTGTCAACTATATGTGCTGCAAAGAGTACGACTTGGACTGGATGAAAGGTTAGTGAATGTGGTACAGTAATATCTAACTGGGATGGTTTAACAAAACACTGTTATACTACCTAGGCAGACACTCATTTACATGTATATGCTAATTAAGTTGTAATTTAAAAGGAGTGTTGGTGCTATTAAAACAATTGTTGAATTATGATCTTGTTTACCTCTGACCTGCAGAGAAAATCTTCTCTGATGACATCCCCAAATGTGACAAGTGCAGCAATCTGGTTAAACCAGGTAAGTGCCTGCCTTATCATTTCCTTTCACTTGTCTATCTTACTTAAATATGCTCTCCCTTTTTCAGTTCCTCATACAGTGGGGAAAAAAGTATTTAGTCAGCCACCAATTGTGCAAGTTCTCCCACTTAAAAAGATGAGAGAGGCCTGTAATTTTCATCATAGGTACACGTCAACTATGACAGACAAAATTAGGGAAAAAAATCCAGAAAATCACATTGTAGGATTTTTAATGAATTTATTTGCAAATTATGGTGGAAAATAAGTATTTGGTCAATAACAAAAGTTTCTCAATACTTTTGTTATATACCCTTTGTTGGCAATGACACAGGTCAAGCGTTTTCTGTAAGTCTTCACAAGGTTTTCACACACTGTTGCTGGTATTTTGGCCCATTCCTCCATGCAGATCTCCTCTAGAGCAGTGATGTTTTGGGGCTGTCGCTGGGCAACACGGACTTTCAACTCCCTCCAAAGATTTTCTATGGGGTTGAGATCTGGAGACTGGCTAGGCCACTCCAGGACCTTGAAATGCTTCTTACGAAGCCACTCCTTCGTTGCCCGGGCGGTGTGTTTGGGATCATTGTCATGCTGAAAGACCCAGCCACGTTTCATCTTCAATGCTCTTGCTGATGGAAGGAGGTTTTCACTCAAAATCTCACGATACATGGCCCCATTCATTCTTTCCTTTACACGGATCAGTCGTCCTGGTCCCTTTGCAGAAAAACAGCCCCAAAGCATGATGTTTCCACCCCCATGCTTCACAGTAGGTATGGTGTTCTTTGGATGCAACTCAGCATTCTTTGTCCTCCAAACACGACGAGTTGGGTTTTTACCAAAAAGTTCTATTTTGGTTTCATCTGACCATATGACATTCTCCCAATCCTCTTCTGGATCATCCAAATGCACTCTAGCAAACTTCAGACGGGCCCGTCTGGCACTGCAGGATTTGAGTCCCTGGCGGCGTAGTGTGTTACTGATGGTAGGCTTTGTTACTTTGGTCCCAGCTCTCTGCAGGTCATTCACTAGGTCCCCCCGTGTGGTTCTGGGATTTTTGCTCACCGTTCTTGTGATCATTTTGACCCCACGGGGTGAGATCTTGCGTGGAGCCCCAGATCGAGGGAGATTATCAGTGGTCTTGTATGTCTTCCATTTCCTAATAATTGCTCCCACAGTTGATTTCTTCAAACCAAGCTGCTTACCTATTGCAGATTCAGTCTTCCCAGCCTGGTGCAGGTCTACAATTTTGTTTCTGGTGTCCTTTGACAGCTCTTTGGTCTTGGCCATAGTGGAGTTTGGAGTGTGACTGTTTGAGGTTGTGGACATGTGTCTTTTATACTGATAACAAGTTCAAACAGGTGCCATTAATACAGGTAACGAGTGGAGGACAGAGGAGCCTCTTAAAGAAGAAGTTACAGGTCTGTGAGAGCCAGAAATCTTGCCTGTTTGTAGGTGACCAAATACTTATTTTCCACCATCATTTGCAAATAAATTCATTAAAAATCCTACAATGTGATTTTCTGGATTTTATTTTCTCAATTTGTCTGTCATAGTTGACGTGTACCTATGATGAAAATTACAGGCCTCTCTCGTCTTTTTAAGTGGGAGAATTTGCACAATTGGTGGCTGACTAAATACTTTTTTCCCCCACTGTAGTTCAAAGTTCTTACTGACCTGTTTATTACACTTTTTTTGTAAAATACTTGATTTCTCCTTGTTCTCCAATTTCAGATATTGTTTTCTTTGGTGAGAATCTACCGAAGAGGTTCTTCACCTCAATGGCCATGGTGAGTGTGGTTTGGGTGGTGACCTGATGGACTACATTGAGTTTGTATGTCTCTGTCTTTTCCATGTATGTCCAGATTTGTGTGTGTGTGCACCCATAATGAAGTGATGATCCATAATGAAAGGCTCAGTACTGGTTCCTGTTAACATTTCTTTTCTCCTCCAGGACTTTCCTCGCTGTGATCTGCTGATTATAATGGGGACCTCCCTGCAGGTTCAGCCCTTTGCTGCTCTGGTTGGCAGGTGAGTCTTTCTGTCTGACTCTCACAGGATCATGATTATATGTTATCTGATAGATTACTATATTTGTATAGGATTGCGTTTCAACATGTCGTCTTCAACCATGTATTCTAGCATCAACGAGCTCATAAATGGTGTGTGATGGAATATGTGTTTTTGTTTGCAGGGTTTCAAACAGCTGCCCCAGACTGCTCATTAACCTGGAGAAAGCAGGCGGTGTAAGTCCTCTGTCCTTTCCCTGTCTATCTGTATTTGCATTAGACTTTCCTTCCTCTATCCACCTCTGTATTTTAACTTGTATATCTTTCTGTCTGTATCTCCCTGTAGGCAGATCCTCTATTAGGGATGATAGGCATTGGTGGAGGGATGGACTTTGACTCAGCGAAAGCATACAGGTAAGAGCTTTCACTTGAACTACAATGATGATGATGGTGAAGATGGTGTTCGAAGTGTTGCTGATTAATATTCATTGATTTGTTTCTTTCAGGGACGTGGCTCATATTAGTACATGTGATGATGGATGCTTGGCACTTGCTGACCTACTGGGCTGGAAGGTAAATATACTGTACATGCTTAGTAAATACCCATATTCTATGGACACAGTCATGATAAGAGTGAAACAGAGATTGTTGAATTAGATTAAAGTTAGTTGAAATCTTAAAGTAGGCTTTTTTCTCTCACTCCCTCCATTATCTCTCTTTCTCCAAGGCGGAGCTGGAAGAGGTGGTAAAACAGGAGCATGAGAAGATTAACAGCAAAGCCAAGGAGGAACAGACCAATCAGAGCTCTGGAGCTGCTGGGAAGGCAGAGTCAGGGAAGGCAGAGTCAGGGAAGGCAGAGTCAGGGAAGTCTGAGTCAGGGAAGACTAAGGTAGAATAACCGATGAGAGACCGGCTGGCTCCAACCCATCACTAGGCTTCAGTCTGGAAGCAGAGTTGCATACAGTAACCAGGACTGTGCTCTACTGTCTGTTTTGGATTTTCTCCCTTTAGTTTGCACTTTACTAACTTCTCTCTCCTCTCCAACCTCTGTTTGACATAAACCCACCTCCTGACTCCTACTGTGTGTATTGGTCTGTCTTTTGACAGTTCCCACAGATGGAGTTTATAGCAATACACACTAAAACAAGCATACTTTTCCTTCTGAGGGAGAGAACTACAGACACTGAGCTGTCAGCATGCCAACTAGCTATGTTGAGTCAATTAGTTTATGATTTTAGACGGAAAAGACTTGTGGGGTAACAAAGATGATGAATGGCTGATTCATCTGCTGATGCAGTGACACAACTACTGTAAATATAATGAAAAAAAGTATTATTATAAATTACTTACTATTTATAATCAATTATAATTATGGATTTGTTTTTCATGACATTGCTTTCTGTGCTCCTTGGTTCTATGAATTGTTTCAATATAGTTATTTTTAACAATGTATTTTAATCTATTAAGCGTACCTGTGACATTTTGGTTTCTCTACTTCCTGTGGATGTTGGCATTGGATGGTTTCTATTTCAGCACGAATGATGCGTTAGGAAGTTACCACAGTGGTGTGAGATGTCGCAGTACGTCTGTGGTGTTGACCAAATGCAACTAGATGCTTTCTAAAAGATTGCGTGTGATATAACAAGTAAAAACACAAAATAAAGTGGCAAAGTCTCCCACTGAATTTGGTATTTTTCATGCACATACAGTACATTAAGCATTGAGCTCAAACACAGCTGGTACGACTGATGTTGATTGTACAATTGATGTTGTCTGTGTTGGGTGCATGGGTTGTTTATTTCTATGTTGAGTGTATTGTAGCCATTAGTTAAACAGAAAATACTATTGCACACTTACACTTAGAATCCCACCTTTTAATTCTCATGAAGCTTTTAACTGGCAGTGTCTGAATCCATTTTGTCTGTGCTTTCATCTCTATAAAGTGCCAACGCTCAGATTTGTCTGTGGTTAAAAGAGAGAGAGTGAGCAGCATTATTCAGGTCTTGAGAGTAAAGGCTAAGCAGACTCATTTTTTTTCTATGTTAAATGTGTTAGCAAGGTTAACCACCTGAAGGGGGTGGGAGATGGAGGAGAGCATGAGAAAGTTGAGAACTTGTGAGCGAGTGAAAGTGCAACATCAAATGTCAAGGTGTGTGGTAGAGGCAGGTAAAGCATCGACACAAAATATACTTCTGACGGAACAGCGAAAGACTATGTTGCTGAGGTACGACGTCTGCATTAGGTAATTTTTTACCCTGTCATTTTTCACCAATAGTACAATTTGTTGAGCAACTTATTTAGAATGTTACAGCATGAAGAGATCTGTGGAGTTTCTGTTAGGCTGAAGGGGAGTCACAAAGTCACAGCTACTTTGACAAAAGCCATATAGGGCCTATTAACAGTAAGTAACCCTTTTTAATACATCTATTTCTCTGCTGGTTTCTCTCAAATCAGCCTTAAAGGGTTAGTTTGCCAAAATTACAAAATAATGTATTTTGGGTGAACTATCCCTTTAAATGTTTGTTGAAGGATATAATTGCTCTTCTATTGCAGAGTAACTTAATGTTATTTTCTTCTATTGTTCTTTTAAAAAATCTTTCATGTTGATTTATTGGATTTAATCTTAATCCATATGCAGTTGGCACACTACATTATTCAGTGTCCGGTAAACCGCCCCTGTATGCTGTAACAGAGCATGTTATGGAGCCTAAAACTACCCCTTTTGTATCATTATCTCTAGAGGTGTGAGTGGCACGGTGAGGACAGGGAATGAGGTTACTGATGGAGTTTCTAGGAGGCCTCTGACTCTGCTGGACACGTTGCGACTGTGTCAGGACGCCGGGGCCCCTGGGATAGAGACGGGGCCCATGCTGCCCTCTGGGGCCGGCCTGCTGGGGTGAGTTCCCCCCACTACCCTCCGTCTTTACACAGGTCACTGTGTGCATCCCAAATGGCACCATTTACCCTATATAGTGCAACAAGGCACTAAAGTAATACTGCAGAAAATGTGGCAAAGCAATTAACTTTGTTCTGAATACAAAGTGTTATGTTTGGGGCAAATCCAGTACAACACATTACTGAGTAGCACTCTCCATATTTTCAAGCATAGTGATGGATGCATCATGGTATGGGTATGCTTGTAATCGTTATGGACTGGGGAGTTTTTCAGGATAAAAAAGAAACGGATTGGAGCTAAGCACAGGAAAAATACTAGAGGGAAACCTGGTTCAGTCAGCTTTCCACCAGACACTGGGAGATGAATTCACCTTTCAGCAGGACAATTGCCAAAACACAAGGTCACCAAGAAGGCAGTGAATGTTCCTGAGTGGCCAAGTTACAGTTTTGTCTTAAATATACTTACAAATCTATGGCAAGACAGAGTTTTGAGAATTTTGAAAAGAATAATGGGCAAATGTTGCACAATACCAATTCAGGCTGTAACACAACAGTGTGGAATAAGTCAAGGGGTATGAATACATTCTGAGGGCACTATCTATTCATTGCAAATGATGAAGTGAACAAAGGGGAGTTTATTTATCTTCCGCAGGTTTAGTTGACGATATGCATCGATATTTAGAGAACTTGATATTAAATATAGCTTGCCTTGCATCAAACTGCTGCTGCCTATAGTTTGTTTTTGACTTGACTCAAAGTGGACATACCAATGTGTCTCTCACTATCACAGTCAGTCATCTATTCCTGAACACACTGTTCATCAAACCCACTTCCTGTAATGTGTCTGTAGGCCTAGTGTGTGTTTGTGGGGGCATGCTCACTTATTTCGCAGTGAGATTTTGGTGCGTACATTGAGGGAAAAAAGTATTTGATCCCCTGCTGATTTTGTATGTTTGCCCACTGACAAAGAAATGATCAGTCTATAATTTTAATGGTAGGTTTATTTCAACAATGAGAGACAGAATAACAACAACAAAAACCCATGTCAAAAATGTTATAAATTGATTTGCATTTTAATGAGGGAAATAAGTATTTGACCCCCTCTCAATCAGAAAGATTTCTGGCTCCCAGGTGTCTTTTATACAGGTAACGAGCTGAGATTAGGAGCACACTCTTAAAGGGAGTGCTCCTAATCTCAGCAGCATTATTCAGGTCTTGAGAGTAAAGGCTAAGCAGACTCATTTTTTTTCTATGTTAAATGTGTTAGCAAGGTTAACCACCTGAAGGGGGTGGGAGATGGAGGAGAGCATGAGAAAGTTGAGAACTTGTGAGCGAGTGAAAGTGCAACATCAAATGTCAAGGTGTGTGGTAGAGGCAGGTAAAGCATCGACACAAAATATACTTCTGACGGAACAGCGAAAGACTATGTGCTGAGGTACGACGTCTGCATTAGGTAATTTTTTACCCTGTCATTTTTCACCAATAGTACAATTTGTTGAGCAACTTATTTAGAATGTTACAGCATGAAGAGATCTGTGGAGTTTCTGTTAGGCTGAAGGGGAGTCACAAAGTCACAGCTACTTTGACAAAAGCCATATAGGGCCTATTAACAGTAAGTAACCCTTTTTAATACATCTATTTCTCTGCTGGTTTCTCTCAAATCAGCCTTAAAGGGTTAGTTTGCCAAAATTACAAAATAATGTATTTTGGGTGAACTATCCCTTTAAATGTTTGTTGAAGGATATAATTGCTCTTCTATTGCAGAGTAACTTAATGTTATTTTCTTCTATTGTTCTTTTAAAAAATCTTTCATGTTGATTTATTGGATTTAATCTTAATCCATATGCAGTTGGCACACTACATTATTCAGTGTCCGGTAAACCGCCCCTGTATGCTGTAACAGAGCATGTTATGGAGCCTAAAACTACCCCTTTTGTATCATTATCTCTAGAGGTGTGAGTGGCACGGTGAGGACAGGGAATGAGGTTACTGATGGAGTTTCTAGGAGGCCTCTGACTCTGCTGGACACGTTGCGACTGTGTCAGGACGCCTGGGCCCCTGGGGGCCCCTGGGATAGAGACGGGGCCCATGCTGCCCTCTGGGGCCGGCCTGCTGGGGTGAGTTCCCCCCACTACCCTCCGTCTTTACACAGGTCACTGTGTGCATCCCAAATGGCACCATTTACCCTATATAGTGCACTACTTTTGACAAGGGCCCATAGGGCTCTGGTCAAAAGTAGGGCGCTATGTAGGGAATAGGGTGCGGTTTGGGACAGACACACACACTGTGTAGACCCATGCCACTATCTACTGTCTGACCTCATGGGTGACCTCTCTGTATTCAGGCCCTTAGGCCTAGTCTCAAGGTCACCTTTGTACATTAGGGTAGCATTTGGACAGGCTGCGATATTACAGATGAATATGGAAGCAGACTCTTACAGTATGTCAAGTTGTTCTTGTACTTCCCTTTACTTTGCATAAAAGCAAATTAATGCAGAAGTGCTGTATGTGTGAGAGAGTAAGAGAGGAGAGATACAGATGGACTGAAAGAAAGAGGAGCAGAAAATATATTTGGTTTGCTAAAGAATCCCAGCGATGTTAAGGACCCTGTCTTAACAAGATCAGCCACTGAGACAAGTGAGTATGGTGAGACAATGGTGATCCAGTATCTGGAGACAGCATCCTATTACACTGTAAGAACTACTGTATATCAGGGTTTAGGTTGAATTGGTGGGATATGAAAAGCACTTTAACAATGGGGTTTTTTCCAACACATTATCCATGTGGATAGGCATAGCTCTGTAAGAAAGAGCAACACTTACATGTTATATTTCAGAAATTATTCACACACCTTGACTTTTTCTAAGTGTTGTTGTGTTACAGCCTGAATTTAAAATTGATTGAATTTAGATTTTTGGGGTCACTGGCCTACGCACAATACCCCATAATGTCAAAGTGGACAAATGTATTAAAAATTAAACGATGAAATGTCTTGAGTCAATAAGTATTCAATCCCTTTGTTATGGCAGGCCTAAATAAGTTCAGGAGTAAACATTTGCTTAACAAGTCACATAATAAGTTGCATGGACTCACTGTGTGCAATAATAGTGTTTAACATGATTTTTGAATGACTACCTCATCTCTGTACCCCACACATACAATTATTTGTAAGGTCCCTGAGTCGAGCAGTGAATTTCAAACACAGATTCAACCACAAAGACCAGGGAGGTTTTCCAATGCCTCGTAAAGAAGGGCACCTATTCGTACATGGGTTAAAAAAAAAAAAGCAGACATTGAATATCCCTTTGAACATGGGGAAGTTATTAATTACACTTTGGATGGTGTAACAATACACCTAGTCACTACAAAGATACATGTGTCCTTCATTACTCAGTTGCCGGAGAGGAAAGAAACCGCTCCGGGATGTCACCATGAGGCCAATAGTGACTTTACAACAGTTTTGGGCTGTGATAGAAGAAAACTGAGGATGGATCAACAGCATTGCAGTTACTCCACAATACTAACCTAAATGACAGAGTGAAAAGAAGGAAGCCTGTACAGAATCAAAATATTCCAAAACATTCATCCTGTTTGCAACAAGGCACTAAAGTAATACTGCAGAAAATGTGGCAAAGCAATTAACTTTGTTCTGAATACAAAGTGTTATGTTTGGGGCAAATCCAGTACAACACATTACTGAGTAGCACTCTCCATATTTTCAAGCATAGTGATGGATGCATCATGGTATGGGTATGCTTGTAATCGTTATGGACTGGGGAGTTTTTCAGGATAAAAAAGAAACGGATTGGAGCTAAGCACAGGAAAAATACTAGAGGGAAACCTGGTTCAGTCAGCTTTCCACCAGACACTGGGAGATGAATTCACCTTTCAGCAGGACAATTGCCAAAACACAAGGTCACCAAGAAGGCAGTGAATGTTCCTGAGTGGCCAAGTTACAGTTTTGTCTTAAATATACTTACAAATCTATGGCAAGACAGAGTTTTGAGAATTTTGAAAAGAATAATGGGCAAATGTTGCACAATACCAATTCAGGCTGTAACACAACAGTGTGGAATAAGTCAAGGGGTATGAATACATTCTGAGGGCACTATCTATTCATTGCAAATGATGAAGTGAACAAAGGGGAGTTAATTTATCTTCCGCAGGTTTAGTTGACGATATGCATCGATATTTAGAGAACTTGATATTAAATATAGCTTGCCTTGCATCAAACTGCTGCTGCCTATAGTTTGTTTTTGACTTGACTCAAAGTGGACATACCAATGTGTCTCTCACTATCACAGTCAGTCATCTATTCCTGAACACACTGTTCATCAAACCCACTTCCTGTAATGTGTCTGTAGGCCTAGTGTGTGTTTGTGGGGGCATGCTCACTTATTTCGCAGTGAGATTTTGGTGCGTACATTGAGGGAAAAAAGTATTTGATCCCCTGCTGATTTTGTATGTTTGCCCACTGACAAAGAAATGATCAGTCTATAATTTTAATGGTAGGTTTATTTCAACAATGAGAGACAGAATAACAACAACAAAAACCCATGTCAAAAATGTTATAAATTGATTTGCATTTTAATGAGGGAAATAAGTATTTGACCCCCTCTCAATCAGAAAGATTTCTGGCTCCCAGGTGTCTTTTATACAGGTAACGAGCTGAGATTAGGAGCACACTCTTAAAGGGAGTGCTCCTAATCTCAGCTTGTTACCTGTATAAAAGACACCTGTCCACAGAAGCAATCAGATCAGATTCCAAACTCTCCACCATGGCCAAGACCAAAGAGCTCTCCAAGGATGTCAGGGACAAGATTGTAGACCTACACAAGGCTGGAGTGGGCTACAAGACCATCGCCAAGCAGCTTGGTGAGAAGGTGACAACAGTTGGTGCGATTATTCGCAAATGGAAGAAACACAAAATAACTGTCAAGCTCCCTCGGCCTGGGGCTCCATGCAAGATATCACCTCGTGGAGTTGCAATGATCATGAGAACGGTGAGGAATCAGCCCAGAACTACACGGGAGGATCTTGTCAATTATCTCAAGGCAGCTGGGACCATAGTCACCAAGAAAACAATTGGTAACACACTATGCCGTGAAGGACTGAAATCCTGCAGCGCCCGCAAGGTCCCCCTGCTCAAGAAAGCACATATACAGGCCCGTCTGAAGTTTGCCAATGAACATCTGAATGATTCAGAGGAGAACTGGGTGAAAGTGTTGTGGTCAGATGAGACCAAAATCGAGCTCTTTGGCATCAACTCAACTCGCCGTGTTTGGAGGAGGAGGAATGCTGCCTATGACCCCAAGAACACCATCCCCACCATCATTTACATTTACATTTTAGTCATTTAGCAGACGCTCTTATCCAGAGCGACTTACAGGAGCAATTAGGGTTAAGTGCCTTGCTCAAGGGCACATCGACAGATTTTTCACCTAGTCGGCTCGGGGATTAGAACCAGCGACCTTTCGGTTACTGGCACAACGCTCTTAACCACTAAGCTACCTGCCATCAAACATGGAGGTGGAAACATTATGCTTTGGGGGTGTTTTTTTGCTAAGGGGACAGGACAACTTCACCGCATCAAAGGGACGATGGACGGGGCCATGTACCGTCAAATCTTGGGTGAGAACCTCCTTCCCTCAGTCAGGGCATTGAAAATGAGTCGTGGATGGGTATTCCAGCATGACAATGACCCAAAACACACGGCCAAGGCAACAAAGGAGTGGCTCAAGAAAAAGCACATTAAGGTCCTGGAGTGGCCTAGCCAGTCTCCAGACCTTAATCCCATAGAAAATCTGTGGAGGGAGCAGAAGGTTCGAGTTACCAAACGTCAGCCTCGAAACCTTAATGACTTGGAGAAGATCTGCAAAGAGGAGTGGGACAAAATCCCTCCTGAGATGTGTGCAAACCTGGTGGCCAACTGCAAGAAACGTCTGACCTCTGTGATTGCCAACAAGGGTTTTGCCACCAAGTACTAAGTCATGTTTTGCAGAGGGGTCAAATACTTATTTCCCTCATTAAAATGCAAATCAATTTATAACATTTTTGACATGCGTTTTTCTGGCTTTTGTTGTTGTTATTCTGTCTCACTGTTCAAATAAACCTACCATTAAAATTATAGACTGATCATGTCTTTGTCAGTGGGCAAACGTACAAAATCAGCAGGGGATCAAATACTTTTTTTCCTCACTGTACATGTATTTGAACGTGTGTGTGTTACACTTAGTTAGCGTTGGTGTGAGGCTAGCCTGGCTTGCTCACTTCTGTAGGCCTTGAATGACTGCTCTACAGAAAAATGAGTAAATCCATCTTGTCCTTTTCTGTGAAGCTGCTCTGTACAGTCACTGTTTCCTAACGCCCAAACACAGTGTTATGAGGCTTCTCATCACCTCTCTCTCTCTCCTTTCACAGAGCTTCCTGGTGTTGAGGGACTCTGCCTCCCAGCCCGCCCTGCTGTGTGTGTCCACTGGAGGAAAGAGTGGAGATGTCAGAGACGACCCCATACAACGCACTGGTGAAGGTAGGCAGGACACACACATGCATATTGTACTGACCAGAACCTCAAAAGCCATACACTTCCCCGTTTTTTTAAAGGTTAATCTCAAGTTCTTAGTTTGTTGTATGTCTTATAATAACCTCTCTCTTCTTCTCTCTCAGCTTATCAGCTATCTCAGTCATATTTAGGCTTCTCTGATCTGGCCCAGTTAGTGGTCTTCTATTCTCTGAGCAGGTGAGTTACAACAACCTACGGTATATGCTGTTTACTAACTACAGTATCTATCAGTTATGCATCTGATATATCTCATTAACCTCTCTCTCTCTCTCGCTCTCTGTCTCTGTCTCTGTCTCTATCTCTCTCTGTATCTCTCTCCCAGGGACGTGTTGCCAGTATGTCTGTTCATCCCTCCGTGGCTCTACAGTCTAACAGATCAGCCACAGTCCCAGCTGGGTCCCAGTAAGTCTGAATTCACCCTCTCCATCTCTCCTCTTCCTCACCCACGCTCTCTTCCACTTATCATCTTCCTTTCACTCCTCCTGCACAACTATCTCCTTGTCATCCATTTTAGTCACTTCATATCAAACGTCTTGTCCTCTATGTGCTCCTCTACCTCCTCTTACTCCTCTTGACGACTACCATCTCTTCTTCTCTCATTCTTACATTTGATCTCCTTTCCTCCCTCTCTTTTTGTGTATCTGTTCGTATATAGAGTCCTGGCTGTGTCCCACCTCTGACCTTCAGTCTGATCACATGACTCAGAGGGCTCCTGATACTGCCATGTGCACCATACAGGTAATCAGCTGTATTCATAGCTTCATAACATGTCTATAAAGTTTGGGACCTGTTCACTATCTTGCATTCTGCTTTAACATTACATATAGTTAGAACCCACTCTAGCGGATGTGTTGCCATGGTTTGACATGTGGTTCACACAGAAAAGCGGAAGTCTGCTCTGGGTTTTCCTAGTGCTTTGTAACGTTATCCCAGTCAAGTGTCACTCTCAGCATCATAGATGAGTTGAAGTGTACATCAGTTCAGACTGACGTCACAACTCCTTTTGCTATTCAGTCGAAGAGTTGTATCTTACATTTGAATACTGTATGGCCTTTTTCAAATCTATATAGGTTTTAAAGGCCCAGTGCAGTCAAAATTATGTTTTTCTTGTGTTTTGATATCATATTGTACGGCAGGTAGTTTAGTGGGTAAGAGCGTTGTGCCAGTAACCGAAAGGTCGCTGGTTCTAATCCCCGAGCCGAATAGGTGAAAAATCAATGTGCCCTTAAGCAAGGCACTTAACCCTAATTGCTCATGTAAGTCGCTCTGGATAAGAGCGTCTGCTAAATGACTATTTTTTTTTTTTAATAACACTGTAAAAGTGTGAAAACATTATATCAGTAGTTAGGCTTCCATCCAATTAGCGAATATTCTAGAATCTGCATAAAGTAAATATGCGCATTTTCCCACCAGTGGTGTGTTTCCACCAAACGAATGTGTTATGGAGAGAAATCAGTGCGCGATGATATACTTTTTCGCTGAAGTTTTCATGTACAAAATTAAAATGTGAAGTTCAATGTGTGTCCATCGCATTTTCAACTCTACCAATAGTTTTGGCACAAAAATAGTTGTATTAAATAGCAAATGTGCATACTTTGGTCTTGGCACGTGTGCACTATCCAACAGCTCACAGATACTGTGCGGATAGGCTAGTCTACATGATGAGATTATTATGGATAAGAGCGAGAATATTTGTACTAATCAAATGGCAGTCAAGCATCGATCATCATGTCACCAGAATAACCCTGTGAAGTTCGTCATAACTTATTTTATCTGTAGCCTAATAAACGGCATGGTTTCCCAAGTCGTAGTAGGAGGACCACATATTATATAATCGCGTGACTCCAATTTTACTTATATATGATGGTTATTATATCAATATTTGCACATAAAGGCGTTTTCACCACCATTTCTCGTATAATTAATTTTACAGACACAAAAAATCCCACCATGTCGAACAAACAAATGATCTGTCTGCATTTAAAACATTGTACTGAAACTTCCTGTTTCCATCACAACTGTCATTACTTTTTTTTTTATACTGTATGATTTCACTCACATAAAAACTGTGGAAGGAAATGTGGTTAGTGTTATTTCCTGATAGTTGCTGGCTGGAGTTTTGGCTTGCCTGGTGACATCCTCAGGCAGTATAAGGTGTAATACACCAATGACAAAGAGAGTTCCAAACCTCTCTGCCAATAACCTATCTCCCATTAGGCCCCTCCTCCGCTTTGGTGCCCTTCCCCTCCCCCACTCAGACCTCTCCCAGACAGTCCTAGCAAAATTCTTGATTGAGAAATATTTTTTTGCTAAAAACTTATTTTTGTTTCTTTTTGACAATTTTTATGGAAACTACTACTGTAAGGTATTTATTTGTTACCCAGAAATTATTTGATTTTGAGATAAAAACTGCCTTTAATACTGAAACATTCAACTAGAATTTTACATTTTCTGAAAGATCCTCATGTTGTTAATGCCTTTTAAATACACAGTCAAGCTCCCTCTCAATTGTGTCTTCTGTTCAATAGCTGACAGCAGCCAATGATGCTCTGTGCATCATCAACCCACTCTATCTCCATGAGCATGGCGCTGACTGGCTGACGCATCAACCAACCAGCCCACATCGAATTAATCGGCAAGCCAATTATAGGCGTGAGAGACGACTGAGGACAACAAGACCTTGGTCAGGGGCGGGCCTTCTTACTAAGAAAGCTATCTCATTGGAGCAGGAGCCCTGCAGCTCCAGTCCTGATAATCCAGGTAAAGTGATTATAGGTCCAGTGCAGTTAAAAACATGATTTTCCTGTGTTTTATATATATTTCCACACTGAGGTTGGAATAATACAATTTTGAAAATGATGATAATGCCATTTTAGTGTAAGAGCAGAAATTATTTGATATTGAGATATTTTTTTTTAACAGCTGCATTGGACCTTGAAGGTGCTTTATTTTCCTTGTCCATCCTGTCTGTGGGAAAATGTCACCACATTAATCATCCTTCTCTCTGTAGGAGCTAATGAGACCTCATAGAGCTCACTAGCCGTTATGCCAAAACCAAAATCAACCAACGACTAACTGATATGTTTGGTCTTGTCTCCAGGGTCTTCTGTAGTCCAGGCTGCCCCGTCTCCCCCCACCCCAACAGGAGGGGTGGTTCTGAGGAGGCCCAGTAGGGATGCTTCCATTGAGTCACTCCACAGAACAGGAAGCCAGGACAGCACTAACACCCCCAGGCCCCCCTCAGACCCCAAGCCCCTGTTCAGCCCTGCCCCTCAGTCCCCTCACAGTGTGTCCTGGATTGAGGACAGGGTATGGCTCTCCCAACCGCCACCCCCCTCCCTCCTCCGCCCCCCCTCCCTTGAGCTGGACTCGCTGTCAATCAGCAGCATGGAGGAGGAGCCGGAGTCGGTCCCCAGCCCCTCCCACTCCCCCCACCCCTCACATCGGTTGGCCAACAAGGTGATGCACCGCCTCTCGGCTGTGGGTCTGGCCATTGGTGGGCTGGGGTCTCCACAGAAGAGGCTGACCAAGCGGGTGCAGGAGCTCAGCAAGCGGAGGGGCGGTTTGTTTGCCGAGGCAGTGCTGGGATTCGTTGAGATGACCCTGGGGGCTGGGTTTATCCCTGGAATGACAGGTGCAGACCTGCTTCAGGAGGTGCGTACGGCTCTCACTGCCCTGAGAGAGACACTGCTGGACTGTCCTGAGATACACATCCTCATAGACAGTATGGCCGACACAGCCGACGAGGAGCTGGGTGAGTCCATGCATTAATAAATTAGTGTTCGAAAACAGAATATCACTACTATTATACAAAAAAACTGTTCAGCTTTAGTTCAGTATCCACTACAAAGCCAAAACGGACAAATACTCAACTACATACATTTCCAGAATTGTTTTCTAACACCTCAGTCTCTCCCTATCCTCCATTCTCTCTCTCTCTCTGTCCTCTATCTACATTAGACACCATACTGGAGCTCTCTCTACACAAGGTGGCCCTGAAGCCTGTGAGCGCCCACCTGTACACCTGCCTCCAGAGCTGTCAAGACCACGAAGGTAGCCTGCGGAAGCTGAGGGAGAACCAGCAGGTCCTGGAGGGCCGGGGGGTGGAGGAGCTGGAAGGGACGCCTGGGGTTGGGGTCCCTGACCCAGTCACCCTGGAGAAGATCCAGCAGAGGTGGTCAGCCATGCACCAGTCCTACTCCCCCAGCAGGAAGGTCCATATCCTGCTCAAGGTCTGCAAGACCATCTACCACAGCATGACGGCCAATGCCAACCCAGGTGGGTGGTGCAGGGTAGACCTCCTCAGCCTCAGTATGTGTATGAATGGAGTTGGTTGGGGTTAGGGTATTTCTCTCTATTTAGATATGGTGAAATTCACCATACACTCTCTATTAAGGATGATGTTTGGAGTTATTTGACCTTTGACTCCCTCCTCCCCTCTGTCTCAGGTGTAGTGTATGGGGCTGATGACTTCCTGCCCTGTCTGACCTGGGTGCTTCTGCGTAGTGATGTGGTCACTCTGCAGCTGGACACTGACTACATGATGGAGCTACTGGACCCCACACAGCTGCAGGGAGAGGGTACGAATTATACAAACATTTCACGCAGACCCACAGAAACATGTATGTGTACATGGACACTCACTGGAAATGAGCCCACCTTATAGTAACCCCCTTTCTGTCTCTGTTTCTCTCTCTCTCTACCTCTGTCTCTCTATTTTGCAGGAGGTTACTACTTGACGTCCCTGTACGCCTCTCTCTTCTACATCAGCAGCTTCCGCCCTCGTCTTGCCACACGCCAGCTCAACACTGAGGCCCAGCAATCCCTGAGCCAATGGCATCGCAGGCGCACCCTGCACTGCAACCAATCACGACGCAGCACGAATCGGAGGACCCTCCAGAGACCTGGGCACGGCCAGAAGGGCAGGGAGAACTCCAGTGATGCAGAGACTGAAACTGGCACAGGAAGTGTAACTGACGCCCCACCGTCGCCCTCTAGTGGTGTGGCCAAGGCACTGCACATAACCTCAGAGGTGGTGGTAGCGGTGAGGGAGGCGGAGGGCAGCAGAGCACAAGGCCAAGGATCCCCAGCTGCACAACTCCAGGCCTCACCTCGGAAGGAGAGACGGACTACAGTACAAGAGTTGGACGGACATCCAGCAGGGAGTGAGGTGGACTAGGAGGGAGGGGTCAGACCTCCTAGTCCTAGTGTGTGGTAAAGGGTTTAGAGAGTGAGGAAGGGCAGGTTAGTCTCCACAGGGTTCATGAGGCACAGCGCCAGGCCAGCAGAGCTAGAAGACCGGACAGACACACAGATGGGTCAGCAGAGGTCAGAGTGGACTGGGCTGCCAGTGGGAGACTTATACCAGAAGGATGACACAGAGGAGCCAGTCTGTCTAGAACCCTGGGCTTTGCCGCAAGCACTTACAGTGGGCTCCAAAATTACTGGCACCCCTGACTGGCAATGCACAAACAATACTTAAAAAAATATAAACAATATATTATAGAGATAAACTCAAAATACCAACATGTGAGAAATACTGTACTATATTAATGTTCCAATGGAACCCACCAAAATCATTTATTGATTTAATTAAAAATCAATGTCTCCCGGTCGCGGCCGGCTGCGACAGAGCCTGGACTCGAACCAGGATCTCTAGTGGCACAGCTAGCACTGCGATGCAGTGCCTTAGACCATTGCGCCACTCGGGAGTCGGCATTACATCACTTCCTGTTTCACTAGGGTATAAAAATGAGGTAACACGCATGCAATATCCCTTTGTCATCCAACACCATGAAGAAAACAAAATAACTGGCAGTTCAAAAGAGATGGTTGTAGACCTTCATAAATCTGGTAATGGCTACAAGAAGATCCACAAACGATTGAATATACCACTGAGCACTGTCAGGGCAATTATTATTATGCATTTTGCCCCCAGGATAGGGAGGAGGACGGTGAGAGAAGCAACAAAATCCCCAAGAATCACTGTGAAAGAATTGCAGGCCTTGGTGGCTTCTTGGGGTTGCCAGGTTTCAAAAAGCACCATCAGACTCCACCTCCACAACCACAGGCTCTTTGGAAGGGTTGCCAGAAGAAAGCCCTTTCTGACCCCCAGACGCAAGTGCTTGGAGTTTGCCAAACGCCATTTAAATTATGACTGGAAGAAGGTGCTCTGGTCAGATGAGACCAAAATTGAACGTTTGGTCAGATACAGCATCGGCATGTTTGGCATTGAAACAGAGATGCATACAAGGAGAGGCACCTCATACCCACGGTGAAATATGGTGTTGGGTCAGTGATGTTTTGGGGCTGTTTTAATTCCAGAGGTCCAGGGGTACTGGTTAAGATGAATGGCATAATGAATTCCACCAAGTATCAGGCTATTTTGGCTGACAATCTGGTTGCCTCTGCCAGAAGGCTGGGACTTGGCCGTAGGTGGACTTTCCAACAAGACAATGACCCAAAACATACCTCAAGATCCACACACAAATGGTTCTGTGACAACAAAATCAATGTTCTGCCATGGCCATCTCAGTCGCCGGACCTCAATGTTTGTGCATTGCCAGTCAGGGGTGCCAGTAATTTTGGAGCCCACTGTAGCTGGCAAACATGGAGTCGCCTTCTCAATATTGTAATGCAAACTTGTTATGCAAAACATTTTATTTTACAATTCCTGGTTTCAGTTGCATTGAAATGCACCCAATAAGACATGAAGATAATGGTCTGATTAGGCTGAATTTGGGTAATTTGAAATATGAGAATGACTTTAAATTGTTTGTGGAAGATATTTCCCATGAGTGTTGCAAATTGTGACGTTTGTAATATTTTCATTGTGTTTCCTTCGAGAAATGTCTCTCAGTGGGGCCAATTAAATGGTCAAATTGGGGCAAAGCATGGAGGCTTTCAGCAGGTTGGTTCCATGGTTAGAACACTTGATGTATTTTCCATGTTGACCACCAGGTTGCAGTACCACACCGATTTTGTCTGTTTCCTCTGGGTTGCAGTAATCAAGCATGATAACGTAAAGATGTTGAGAAATGTGTTGATGTGCCTGAAATAACAGCTGAAACGAAACGACAGTTGATCAGAAAGTGATTGTATTATGTTATGTGTAATATGTACTCTGTTTTTATTTTATTTTTTTATTTTTATCTACATTATTTGGCCATGCTTTAGGATGCTGTATGTTGTTTGTTGGCATGCTGTAAAGACAGCATTATAGACATCTGCACATTAGAGTACTTTTATGCTAAAGAGTGACCAGTGCAGTAGACAGGTCCTTATACAAGCACATGTATTACAATACACAGACACATGGTACCACTACCGTAGACACAGACAACACACAAACAAGCCCACGCACACACATGGACATACTGTAATATATACATACTCATGCAAATACTTATACGGAGTGCCTCATATGCAAATGAACGTACACACACACGTGCCCTCCCATACATTCATACATACGGAACCGCCTCATTCAGAATTTTAAATGAGCAACCCAATCAAATTTGCCTAATGAGACATCTGGCATTCTGTCTGTATTTCCGATCTTTTAACCAGGTCTAAGAAACATCTGGGCCCTTCATCAGCCCAGTCAAACCTGATGAGAGCAAGACTGATGGAGGGACAGTGGCTGAGACTTAACATCTACGACTCACACCTCTTATATATGTGATCACGTGATATATTATGCATACATGGGACTATATGACATGTTCAGTCCAGCCATAAATTAGATATATGGTGGTGGCGAGCACACAGATGGCAGATGCCTGAGGCATTTAAAGCTAGGACTTTCGCTAGCTAGCTGCAGCTAAACATAGAGGCCGAAAGGTACCCACTCACACACACAAAGGTACCCACTCACACGCACGTTCACACACACACTCACACTCACAAAGGTACCCACTCACACGCACGTTCACACACACACAGTACATGCACATCCAAGCACAAGGCAACACCAGGACAATATACAGTCACACACATACTGAAAAACATGAATATTCACACTAACAGTATATCACAAACACTTGTTCGTCACACTAAATGTATACCAGTATCAGTGTGCCTGGTGTGTTCGCCCCTCCCCCTTGATTGACAGGCATCTAACGAGCAGCTGTTCTAATGGGCCTGGCAGCCACTCCTAATAGTGATAAATAGATGAGAGGCATTTGTGAATCAGGACCAAACACTTTTCAATCAATTATTCACAACATTACTCCAATTTATGCATCATCAGGCTGCTACACATCCTGGTTGTTCCCAGGCTGGAAACAGTGAAACTCTGTGGTAAAAAATGGCTA